CTGTCTCATTCCCTGCACCAACAAATGCAGGTGACCAACCATGGCATTGTCCTCTCCAATCGCAGCACCCGTGCCAGGTCCCTCGCCGTCATCACGAGGAATTCCTTCACGGTGACCACTCATACCCGACGGTCCTGTCTGAGATTCATGACTTGCCTGCTTGCCGTCAGTCTCATAGGGATTGCCACCAGGTACAGGAGATTGTGCCGAAAGTCCAGCGGGAGGTAAAAGACGATCCACACGTCCACCACCCCTGGTAACTTGTTGTTCACCCCCACCTGCGTGTCCTTCACCAGCTCCTTGGGTTAAAGGTTCACCACCAGGTACGGAAGATTGTGCCGAAAGTCCAGCGGGAGGTAAAAGATGATCTACACGTCCGTCACCACCTGCCGCTCTTCCGGCCCGCCACTGCAAGCCCGGAGGTGCCCCAACAGGTCCTCGGCCAAGGAGTTCACCACCAGGTACGGGAGATTGTGCTGAAAGTCCAGGAGGAGGGTGGCCTGCATTCACAGTGTCTCGAGGATTAGGCACAGGATTTCCTCTCGGTTCGCTGCCTCGAAGACCCATGTCTCCATCCATCAAAGCCCCACTGCTTTGTCCACCGCCCTCAACACCCAGCTCTCTGTCTGCCAAGGCCATAACCACTTGTCGTAGCTCTTGGTTCTCATCATGAAGCCGCTTCATCTCTGACTCTCTCTCATCCAAGGCGGCCTTGACTTGTCTTCTGACCTCTTCCATGACAACCTCCTGGGAAATCGATCCATTGGAGGACTCCTCCGCCTGTCTCCTTGGCGCAGCCGTGAGCAAGGAAGGACGGTTTGTCCAAGAAGTCATTGCCTGCCTCATCTCTTGGCTCATCAGTGGTGCCGTCGGAGTTGTCGGCCTGGATGGCTGAGAATGCCACGCAGAAGCTGGCGAGCACTCTGGTGACTGCAAGCCACGGCTCCTTCCAGCTGTTTGGACTTGCTCCATTACGGGTCGAACCACTCTTCGCTGTATCACCTCGCTCCTTCTTGTGAACCATGCCG